CATGTACTGGGAAACGCTCGCGAGGTGGATCAACACGCGCGCTCGTCGCGACGCACAGCGCCTCGGCGTCCCCCTCGTTTTCCTGCAGGCCGTAGACGAGTGCGGTGCGATTCAAAGCGATCCAGACGCGGGCCGACGCCTCCTGAACGTCCCGAACGTGCACAAGACAGGGGACATCCATGGCGTCTTACCGGAGGAGTTGAAGAATAAGTTTGGGCTCGTGCAGGAGCAACGGGCCACCATTTTTTCTTTCGAGCTTCGCCCGCGCGACGAGCGGGACTACGAGGGGCGCGCGCTGGGCCAACTCTTTCGCCCCCGCTACCAACCGCGGGGGATCCGGCTGCAGGTCCACGGCTTCGAGGAGCCCCCGATCTACAAAGAGGTCGCCGAGCTGCTGCTGCAGGGAGCCGAAGGCGCCGTCGAACACGACGAGGCCGAGGCGCGGGCGAGGAGCTAGCCCATGTTCAGGTCCAGCGAGCAAGCGTTCACGTGGCAGAGCTCGGGGGCGCACGCTGTGCGCCGCTCGGGGTTAACCCTGGCGCGCGCGCGCGCGCGCGCTACCTGGCCTCCGCGCTCTCCTCGCAGGGCCAGGCGCTGCGCATGGGCGTCGCCATCGACTGCGCGAGGGGCGAGGACACTGGTCGCGCGGGCACGTCGGGCGAGCAGCGGTGGCTGCACCTCTACGTCGTGCTCTCCCGCGCCACGCGCGTGCGGAACATGCAGATCCCGCCCTCGCGCGAGTTCCTGGAGCGCGGGCCGCCGGCGTCCCTGCGGGGGGCGCTCAAGAAGTTCGAGGAGAAAGCGAGAACCTCCAGGCATGAGGCCGAGCAGCTTGCCGCGGAGCTTGGCTTCGTGCTGCCTCCCACCTGAGCGCCGCGGTGCGCGGCCAGAGGCCCGCGGGGTTGCCCCAGCGGTCTGGCCCGCGGGGTTGTCCCCGCGGCCTGCCCCCGCGCCCCAGCGGCCCGCGGGGTTGCCCCGAAGGCGTGGCCCGCGGAGCTGCCCCGAAGGCTTCGCGAACCAGCCGTCGGCGAACGCGCGCGCGCTGGCCGAGGCGGCGACGGCGCCGAGGAAAATCGATTCGCTTGTCCCGACCAGGTGGGCGCGCGCTGGCCGAGGCGGCGACGGCGCCGAGGAAAATCGATTCGCTTGTCCCGACCAGGTGGGGGTGGGGGCACATGGAGAAGAAGAAGCAGGGGAAGGATGAGGACGACGGGGAGGGGTTGGGAGGGGGCGGGCGATGGCGATGGGGAGGGAGGAGGAGGAGGGGGAGGAGGGGGGGGAGAGAAGGAGGAGGAGGAGGAGGAGGGGAGGAGGAGGAGGAGGAGGAGGAGGAGGAGGGGAGGAGGAGGAGGAGGGGAGGAGGAGGAGGAGGAGGGGAGGAGGGAGGAGGAGGAGCGGAGGAGGAGGAGGGAGGAGAGAATAGGAGGAGGAGAAGAGGGGAGTAGGAGGAGGAGGAGGAGGAGGAGGGGGAGGAGGGGAGGAGGAGGCGGATGAGGAGGGGGGGGAGAAATAGGAGGGGCGGAGGAGAGGGGGAGGAGGAGGGAGGAGGGAGGGGAGGAGGAGGAGGGGGCAGGAGAGGAGGAGGAGGCGGAGGAGGAGGAGGAGGAGGGGGAGGAGGAGGAGGAGGAGGAGGAGGAGGAGGAGGAGGAGGAGGAGGAGGGAGGAGGAGGAGGAGGAGGAGGAGGAGGAGGAGGAGGAGGAGGAGGAGGAGGAGGAGGAGAGGTCACAGCAGAAAGCGAGAGGAGGGTGTCTGCCGGGGCGAGGAGGGAAGGGCTCAGGACAAGCTAAACAGATTGTCATGCGGGGTCCTTCCGTCGGAGTAATCTGTTTTGGACGACAACGACCGCGAGGTCTTCTGCGCTGGCTCGAGAGAGTCATACCTGGCGAAAATCCAGTCCGAACAGCTCCTTGGCGCAGGCGGCTTTCTGGAGGCGCAGCCGAACGAGAACCTCCGGCTCCTCCTCGAACTAGAGGAGTTCGTGACTGAGGTCACGCGCTGGCTCCTACTGCCGGTCTACGGGTCGCTGCAACGGCGCGCGCGACAGGCGCGGCCGCCACTCGGGTCTTTGCGCGGGCGCTGGGGGCCGGGTGCTGCGACGCAATGCCGCCCGCAACCTGGTCGGTTGTTTCGCTTCGTCGGCCGGCTGCGACGCGGAGCTGGAGCGCCCGGGGATTTTGCCGCCCCGGCCCAACGACGCTCAGCGCAACGGACGTCGCCCTGCGGGCGTGCACGTGCCATCTTGGTTCCGAGGGGCACCTGCTGCTTTCGACTTAGCGGTGTCTTCGCCGCGTCGGCAGGCTGCTCTCGGCGCGGCACGCGGCCCGAACGCGAGCGCTTGGACACCGAGGCCCAGTCCCTGCGGCAGGGGATAATGTTCGTCCCCCCGGTGGCGGAACCGTCTGGCGGATGGGGCCCCGCGGGCGCGGGCGCCCTCCGCCGCCCGGCCCGGTCCAGCGGCGGGCGCCTCGGAAAAGCGGCGGGCGCCGGGGCGGTTCGCCTCTTCCAGCAGCTCCCTGTGGCCATTCGCAGGGCCACGGCGCGGGCCGTGCTGCGTAAGCACATAGCGACCCCCGCCCGTGGGGGCGCGCTGTCCGCTGCTCTCCACCTGCTGGCGGCTCCAGACGACGACGACGCCAAGCATTCCTCGTCCCCCTCCTTCGTTTTCCCGCCTCCCTCCTCCTCCGCCCCCCCTTCCTTCCCTCCCTCATCTTCCCATAGACTCGGAGTCGTGATGTTTTGCTGCGCGGTGCCCTGTCCGAGGTGCCCTGGCGGGATGGCGCCCCCCGCCAGGGACCTGCAAAAAATCCCCCTCCGACGGGCGCCGCGCCCGCGCCAGAGTTTTTGTCAGCTGCCCCTCCTCGCCAGCCATATTTTTTCCTACGAGTGCCCCTCGTTTCCTTTTTTCTCCCAGTATTTGCCTCGTTCTTTCTCCCGGGGCGGCGGCTCGGGCCCCCCGGCCGCGCGCCCGCCCCCTCCGCCTTCGGTTGCTCTTCCCTCCTTCTCCCCCTCTTTTCCCCTCCAGGGTATTCTTCGTGACCGTCAGGCGCCCTTGCCCGCGCTCGGGTTTTCGTCTCCCCCCTTTCCCCTTGGCCAGGGCGGCGGGGCCGGGCAGGAGGTGGAGTTGCCGTTGTCGGTCGGCGCTGAACTCCCCTCCCTCGCGCGCGGGGCACACAAGGGCGGCGTCCCGAGATCTCCCACGGGAGCTTGGAACAACTCGTGGCCGCTCCAGCGCGAGTCGAAGTTTGGGGTGCCCACGTGTTGCCCACCGTGGCGCACGTGGTGCACGTGGCGCACATGGCATTTGCGCCGCAATTCGTGGGCTTCGCGTGCCTGGTTGGCGTCTGCATCGGTTCCCGATGGTCGTCGATGGCAGTTCCAGTCGATGCTAAGATTCGGAAGGTAGTTATGTAGTGGGAGGGCGGGCGGGCGTGAGCGAGACAGCTTGCGGCGTTCCCGCTGGGAACCCGACCCTCCTCCCATCCCCTCTTCGTCGTCCCTCCCAGTCAGAGGCCCCGCGTCGTGAACAAAGCACGGGCCGCCGTGGAAAATCACGTCCGAAACTGTCGACCTCTGCCGGCACCCGCTCCACGCCTCGAGGGTCAGAGGTGGGTCGAGGGCGGACGTCGTGATCTTTTCGTGCGAACTGGGTGTCCGAGCCATGGCCCCATCGTCGCCATGGTCTTCTGCTCTGCCATCTGGGGTCGGTTCGTGCTCGCATGCGAACGTGCCCCTCGGCGCGCGCACGAAGTCCTTCATGGCCTGGGCGCGGCTCCCTTCCCTCAGCGCGCGACGAACAGTAAAACATATTTTTCGCCGTCGGGGACGACGCCTGAACCTGGACGGCTGGGACGTTTATGCCCCTCCGGTGCCGCCGTGGGGGTGCAGTTGTTCCAGCCGCTGTGGGGCAGGCGCCCCCGACAGCGAAACAGTGTATCCATGGACGGGGTGTCGGTTCCCCCCTTCCCCTCGGCCCCGCCTGGCCCCCCCCCCCCGTGCCCCGGCGCACCTCCTCTGCCGTGCCAGCCCGTGGCCCGGCCCGCCCCGGCGCTGCTCGGCCGCCGCCCGACCTTTTCTGGCGGCCGTGGGCCAAAACAGGTCCGAGCCATGGTCTTCCTCTCCTCGCTGTCGGTTGTGGAACTCAATCAATGGACAGGAAACATGCTGCCAAATACTTTCCAGATGTCCAGAACATGTCTTAAACATGTAAAACATGCTTAAGAACATTTAAAAAACAGGAAAACAATGTTTAATCACACATTTAATTCAATGATCGGACTGTTAGAGTGTTCGTTGCCATGGCGTTTGCAAGCTGTGGGTGTCGTCGTCCTCGTCATCCTCCCTCTTCCCCCCCGTTTGACCAAAGCCTTGTCGAGGTTGCGGTGCGCCCTGGCCCGGGGCCGTCCCCCCGAGCTGGGCTCGCCGAGGCTGCGCGAAGGCCCCCTCCCGCCTGCGAGCGCGCCGCTTGTTTTTGCACACTCGTGGTTGGAGGGTTTCTCCGAACGGCTTGCGCGACCCGTCGTCGTCGTCGTCCTCCTCCTCCTGTCCTCCTCTCATCTCCTCCTCCTCCTCCTCTCCTCCTCCTCTCTCCCTCCTCCTCATCCCTCCCTCCTCCTCCTCCCTCCTCTCTTCCTCCCCCTTCTCCTCCTCTCTCCCTTCTCCCCTCCCCCCTCCTCCTCCTCCTCCTCCTCCTCCTCCTCCTCCTCCTCCTCCTCCTCGGTTCGCCTACCGCCCCGGGGGAAACCGCGCACTCGTGGCACTTTGAGCAGGCTGTCTGGTTCTCTAGCGTGCCTGCAGTCTGGCTCGCGTGCCGGTAGAGGTCCGCCGCCGCCCCCCCGTTTGTCGTCGTCGTTCGCCTCGCCTCGTCGTCGTCCTTGCCCTAGTCCTTTTCTCCGCAGTTGTGGTCGTCGCGGCGGTGGTCGTCGTCAGTGTCAAGTTCGGCTGCTGCCGCCGCGGCGGCGGTGGGGTGCTAGCGGAGACCCGTGCCGTGCCCACGCCAGAGGCGAAGCTGCTCATGCCGGCGCTGTCACGGTTGGGCGAGGGGTCGCTGAAGGAGCTGCCATAGGGGGAGATGGGGTCAAGAAGGGAAGTCGGTGAGGAAGGAATCACAGGAGGGCGAGTCGAAACAACGGAAGATGGCCTTCGGAGGGCCCTCCCGTCGCCAAGTCTGGACTCAGCTAGGAAAATTGGTGGTGGGAGGGTCCGGGGACCGATTTTGAGCTGCCGTGGTCTCAACTCGCCCTGTTCAGGGTCAAGGGAGGAGGGCGATCAGGTTGGGACTGGGGGAGGAGAGGGAGGATTGTTGGGGTTGGATTATTAGGGCACGAGTGGGGCCCCTTCACCCTGAACAGGTGCAACAACCTCGTGACCGAAAGTGGGGGGCGATGGATGGCAGTGGTTTCGTGAAAGCTGAATTAGATGAGAACTGGTCGATTCTTTTTCACCGAGGGACCGCGTCTGTGGTTATCATCCCCTCGCCCCAAGGCCTATCATGGATCCCATCGAATCCTAGCTGGGGGGTGGCATCCCTGACCGGGAAGGCGAACGTGCAAAAACAGTGGTCATGCTAAAGCAGTGGTCCGTCGAGGATATCGAGTAAAGGCCCGCATATGGCAAAGGCCATGCGGTAAGTTTGTTCACTTGGACCCAGCAGGTGCAGGATCGCCCCCCCCACTGGAATGCCCATGAATCTTCAGGAGCAGGCCCTTGTACTGCAGCCCTGCGCCCACAGGGCTGCCCCACGACTGCACGTGTCCATGCTTTCAGACGGGCCCGTGCTCTCAGAATGGTCCACCCGCTGGGCGCCCCAGGACCGTGTTTCAAACTCGTGTTGTGTATGATGCTCAGCTGGAACCCACACTCTAAGTATCGTGGAGCCCACACTCCCAACTATCCTGGCCCAAGGCCGCCCCGCGACTGTGAAGCACGGGCATCTTCGGTCTCACGAAGAATGACCTTCATGCCATGCGATACTGGGGCAGACACCCTCCTCGGGGCTCGGGCGGAAGCCGTGACAGCACCGAAGCATTGGATGGCCTGGAAGCCACGGGGGCTGGCCAGCCTGCCCCCAAGACTCAAGGCACTCTGGCCGAGTCGCTACCCTACTTGATGGGATTGTTATCGACGTATCGACGTGAACTTTTCCAGGGGCCGAAATGCGACACCCCCCCGGGCCCGAAATTTCTACAATCCCCTGGGGGCCGAAATTGCTACACTTCTTCCTTCGAGGATCTCCGATGGCCGCCAGCAGGTGGAGTTGCGGCCACGCTCGCAGGACAACGCTTGGGCGTGCTGGCACATCCGCTATTGCTCAGCGCAGGCCCATGCTCGTACCTTGGCGGACCTCCGCAACGATGGGGGATTTGAGTTACTGTACGAAGTGGGCGAGTCCAGCGTAGCGATCCTGCCGACTCGCTGCCGGGGCAAAGCGCGCGGCGCCCTCCGTGGCCTCCACCGAAGGCTCTGGGCAAAGCCCGGGGGAAGCGCCACTCCTCGGGGCGTCGCCAGACGGACCTGCCGCAGCGTGGCGATCTGGTCGAGTCACAATGTGAGGCACAATGGGGCCATGGGGACTCATTGCCTTTCAGGGGGGGAATTGGTCTGGGGGGGGGTTAGCAATCCGGGGTAGAATCGTAGCAGTGTGTAGTCTGTGGAGAGAAAGTTATTTCCACCCGAACATCTAACTACTGCTGTGGGGTTGGCGATCCTGTCGAATTGCGGACTATGCGTGAGGCGGCGTATGAGGGGTCAACGACCCAACATGCGGGTACAATCTCTGATCTGGGGTATAGTCGATCTGATTGAATCGACTGACTCAGGGCTGCGTGCATGTGAACTCCGCGAGTCCGTAGCTCTCGACCTCGGTGCCACAAACGCCTACCCCGAGCTGCGATCCAACTGAGTCGATCAACTGTGGGCTACATTTGAACTCCTGGAGTCCGTAGCTCTCTGCTTCTGTGCTCCCTACAGCCTGTACCTCGTGTCAGAATGCGGTTTGGGGAGCACTAGCTCCAGTGAGGCTCGCAATTCTTTACGCTCCGAGTATCCCCCACCAGCCCATTCAGAAACGCTGCCGATGAGAGCTGATCTGCTTGAGGCCCACTTGGGGTCCTCTTTGGACTTTCTCGGGGCCCTCTTAAGGGGCCCCCCTTGGGGCTTGTTTGGGTGGTCTTGGGCCCTCTTGGACCCCTCTTGGGTGCCTCTTGGGAGCCCTGGAGGGCCTGTTGGGGTTGTCTTGGAGGCCAAGGGGGGCTCACTTCTCAAGGCCCCCACTGCAGAGCCCTCACAATCGTCTTTGGGGGCCCTCTTAGGGCGTTCTTGGGGCGCTCTTGGGCGCTTTGGGGGCCGCCTGGGGGGGTCCTGGGGGGGGGGCTATTGGGCCCATCGGGCCAATCTTGGGGCTCTCTTGGGCCATCTTCGGGCCATCTTGAGGCCTCAGAAGCCCATCGGACGCGAAAAGGTGAGACGGTTGAAGGATTTTGGACTCTTGGGGAGATCCTCGGGGGGCTCCGATAGCACTTAGGGCCGTCTTGTGGCCATCTTTGGGGAAGGGGAAGGAGGTGTGGAGGGGTAGGAGGCGGGTCGCTCAGGGAGTGCCCAGGTGAGGGCGGAGGGCGATGGAGGAAGCTGGGTCCTGCTCCCGTGTCCTCCCTCCTCCGCGCGCGTCGGGCGTGTCGCCGGCGCTTTCCGCACCGCTTGTGGCCCTGAGGCCTCACGTTTCAATACGTCGCACGGACCGGTGGCGGGCCGTTCTGACGGAGTGGGTCTTGCCAGAGCGCCGCTCACCATCGTCTTGAGCGTTGGGGGCCGGTGGTGTTCAAATTGTGGCTCGCGCACGAGCGATGCGCATGTTTGCCCGCAAAGCTTCAGCAGCTACCCGGATGGATGGCGAATCATTTTCAAAATGGGGCTCTCGCTTGAGAAGTTGCTGCGCCCAGAGGTGTTCCGAAGAGCGCAACAGGTACATTGATGGAGGGCGACTCTTTTTCAACATATGGCGCTGTCGTTTCGGACGTCTGTGCTTATCTCCCGAAGCGTAAACACATGTGTGGCGTCTGCACGCTTGCAGGGCCGTTCCTTTTCAAAACGAGGCTGTTGGGGCTTGAGGTGGGGCAGGGTAAGGTGGCAGCCGCCAGTCGCGCTAGCAGCATGCAGTACGACATCACATCGCTGTAGCTTGAGGCAGTGGCAGCCAGGGGCGGCCGCCCTCCAGCGAGCGCTCCCGACAGTCGTAAGTGCAAGCATTACCAGCCCAGGGCAAACAAAAAAACGGGGCTCTCGGTGGACACTCCTGATCTGATCCAGTGTATTCGGGCGACGAGAAGTGTGCACATGCACCGATCCTGGCCAGGCCCATCCTTGACCCAGGATCGGCGCACATGCCTTCCTGGCCAAGGTAGGAGGGCGTATGCACCGATCCTGGGCTCAGGATGGGCCTGGCCAGAATCGGTGTATGTGCATGGTTCTTTTTCCTCTGTGTGTGTGTGGCACCTCTGGCTCAAAAGGGTGGACGGCGGCTCCTCCTCGAGGCGGGGGCTCGCACGAGTGGCAGATCCAGGGGGCGCTCCTCTCTCAACGGGGCGCTTCATGCACTGAAGCTACACACACACACACGGGGAGGATCTGTGGCTTCCAGGAGGCACCCCCGGAAGCTCCCAGGAGGCCCCAAGAGTGCCCCCAGAGGCTCCCAAGATACCTCCTCCTCCTGCTGCTCCTGCTCCTCCTCCTCCTCCTCCTTCTCCTGCTGCTCCTCCTGCTCCTCCTCCTCCTCCTTCTCCTCCTCCTCCTCCTCCTCCTCCTACTGCTAGGGGAGGGAGTTCGGGACGGGAAGGTGTAGTGTAGCAGCGTTGACGAATCCTGAGTTCACTTTGCTCCCTCGGCCTTCCGCCTTTTCAGAGGGATCCATGCAACATCAGCCACCGAGCTGCACATCTGGTCCAGGTGGGTGGGGTCTTCAATATGTTGGACGCTTGTCCACCTCCCTATCGTCCTAATCCGGCTTGGTACCAATTCCTCCCTCGCACGAGAGCATGTGTGTGTTGTGTGTGTGTGTGTGTGTGTTCAGCCCTCTGTGCGATTTTGCTTTCAAGCACGGCCGCCCTGCTCTGCACCTCCCCTTGCCTTCGCCCTTTGGCGCGCACTGCACTCTGCCCGGCTTCGCTGAGTTCTTCTTTTTTCACTGTTCCCGTGCGCCCGTTGGGACGGCCCCCCGGTCCCGTGCACCGCTGTCGTCCGCGGTCGCTGGCCGTGGACGTCCTCCTCGCCCCATGCTGCCGTGCGGGTCCGTCCCACGGTGCTGCGTGGACCCTCCCTGCTATCCACACCCGGATGGTTGATGCCGTTCTCGTTGTCTCATGCTGCTGTGAGGGCATCACCCACGGTAGTTATCTGCGTGTACGCTCCCCGCCTACAGTCATCCATGATAGCATGGATGGGGCTACTTTCCAAGGCTACCCTTGCATCCTTGCCCCTTCGGTATTCGGCATCCTTCGGCGTTCTGCTGCGCTCCGCACGGAAAACGTCAACATGGCGTTCCAAGGCCCTTGCATCCTTACCGCTCATCCTTAGTAACCTGGTCGAGTGTATCCACGCTCAGATGGCTTATGACCGTAGGACCGCATCCCAAGTGCTTCGTGAGGGCCTGGCCGCCGCGTGCACCGTCTGTTCGCTTTCTCCGCCTCGTCGCCGCGCGCGCGGCCGCTACCGCCTAAAAAGTGCGTGTGCGTTTGAATGTGTGTGTGTGTGTGTGTGTGTGTGTTTGTGTGGGTGGGTGGGTGGGGGGTGGGCGGGGCGGGCGGGCGGGCGGGTGGGTGGGTGGTGCGGGGAGGGATGAGCATACTTTTCACCATGCGTTCACTGCACTGCTCAACCTGCCCCCCCCCCTCTCTCTCGGTCGAGCCCTCCAGCCCGCCCAACGCAGGCTACCAGGCCAGGACATGAACACGAGTAAGGCGCAATGTCTACCATCGGGCAATGTCAGAGCAATGGGCGCCTGCGTAATGTAAGCTCCAGGACGGGGGACACATCGGGCGACCCATGGAAAGCTCAATCCACAGACATGCCCCGCAAGGGAACGGAGGGTGGCTGCAAACGCTTGGGATCCCGAGCTTCCACGCCCAATGGAGCAAGGAGGCGACGGCCATCAAGGTCGTGTTATCCTTGCGCACCTGATCAGAGGCTCGTTCGCCCGATGCGAGGGATCCACACAGGACCGTCTTGTCGTCGTCGCCCTGCTCCTTCTCCTCTCCCTCCTCAGTCGTCTCAGTTTTGCCAGAACTGTCCCTCAATGATGTTGTTGTTGTTGTTGATGATGATGATGATGATGATGATGATGCTGATGCTGATGCTGGTGCTGCTGATGATGATGCTGCTGATGATGATGATGCTGATGATGCTGATGATGCTGCTGATGATGATGATGATGATGCTGGTGCTGATGATGATGGTGATGATGATGATGATGATGATGATGATGATGATGAGCGCACTGCTCGTGCAGCCGAGCGCACTGGAAGAACACGTCATCAATTCGGATCATTCTGATCTCCGTGTTCTGCGTCCCTGTCCTCCTCTTCAGACTGCATCCACGCACTGCGGCTCGCCCCCCTCTCTTCCCAGGCTTGCTTCCTCCACCCTTCGTCCCTGCCTTCCCTTCTCCTCGTCCCCCCCTCCTGCATCCTCACTCAACCCTCGTTCCAGTCCATTCCACCCCCATCGTCACTCGTCGTCCTTCCCTTCCTTCTCCTCCCTCTACTCCCTCCCTCCTCTCCCCGTGTTCCTTCCCGCCCTCCTCGCCCTCCTCGCCCTGGTTCCCTTTGCCCCGCCTCCGAGAGACAGCCCACGGGCGTCCAAGGTCTCGTCCCTGGGCCGCCAGGCCCAGGGCCTGAAGACCTCCCGCGTCAGAGCGATGCAGCACACAGCCTGGAGACCGCACCCGGTGGGCGGAGGACGTGGCCGCATGCCTCACCGTCGTGGCCCCGCCCGTCCGCCCGCCCGACATCCTCAGCGACGCGGAGCGCGCCGCGGTGTGCAAGGCCTCGGGCGGCGCACGGGTCCAGCGGGAGGCGGATGGAGGAGTAGGGACGGAAGGATTAGGTTGATGATGATACGATGATGATGCTGATGATGATGATGATGGTGGTGGTGGTGATGATGATACTGATGGTGATGATGATGATGCTGATGATGCTGCTGCTGCTGGTGGTTGTGATGATGCTGGTGGTGATGATGACGATCATGGTGATGATTATGATGATGATGGTGGTGATGATGGTCATGATGATCTGATGGTGATGATGCTGATGATGACGATGATGCTGACGATGGTGATGGTGATGCTGGTGATGATGATGCTGATGATGATGATGATGATCCTGATGGTGATGATGGTGATGATGATGATGATGATGGTGATGATGATGTTGATGATGATGATGATGATGATGCTGATGATGATGATGATGATGATGATGATGATGATGATGATGATGATGATGATCACGACGACGATGATGAGGATTACGATCGGAGGAGGAGGAGTAGGAGGAGCAGCAGGAGGAGGAGGTGGAGGAGGAGGAGGAGGACTTAGTTGGATTAAGAAGGAAGAGGAGGAACTGGACGGGAGGAAGACGAGGGGGAGGAGGAGGGGGGGGGGATCAGAAACCCACGTCCATACTCGCGTCGCAAACCTACGTATAAGCCCACTTCCAACCCACGTCCAAACTCATTTCCAAACCCGTGCCCCGACACACGTCCCAACCCGTGTCCAAACCCGGGTCCAAATCCATGTCCAAACCCACGCCCAAACCGGCGCCCAGATCAGCGTCCAAACCAGCGTGGGTACCCACGCTCATATATATATATATATATATATATATACACACCCATACCTAATACCTATACCTATACCTATACCTATACCCATACCTATACCTATACCTAATACGACCACCCTGCAGGTGACAAGGAGGTTGGGGGGGAGGGGGCCAGCAATGGGCAACAGTGGTGATTGCTATTCGGACGGTGCCAGTGGAGATCGTCGCGTTGATGCTCGCTCTTGGGAGCCTTGGTGTCGAGTTGTTTATGTCACCCTTCGCTCTTGGGCGCCTTGGTACCATTCCCTCCCCTCCCCCGGGAACCAACGAAATGATAAATTATTTTGTTCATTTTGCAAGGGCTTGGGGGGCCGTTTGGGCGCGTCTTTCGGACCTCTTGGGGGGCTCTCGGGGGCGTATTGGGGGGCTCTTGGGAGCCTGTCGGGGATGGCGCACGCTTGCTGCTTTTCACTATCGGTCTCATCGATCTAACTATCGATATCATTATCGATATCACTATCGATCTCAGCACGTGAAACCACGGGACACCTACGCGACACCGATGGGACACCGACGGGACACAATCGATCTCACTGTCGATCTCACTATCCATCCCACTATCGATCTCGCTATCGATCTCACTATCGATCTCGCTTTCGATCTCACTATTCATCTCAATATCGATTCCACTATCGATCTCGCTATCGATCCCACTCGATCGATCTCACTGTCGATCTGACTATCGATATCACTATCGATATCACGATCGATCTCACTATAGATCTCACAATCGATCTCTCACTATAGGTCTCACTATCGATCTCACTATCGGTCTCATTATCGATCTCACCGATCTCACTATCGATCTATCGATCTCACTGTCGATCTCACCACGGGACACCACGGGACAACGACGGGACACCGGCGGGACACCAGCGGGACACCAGCGGGACATCGGCGGGACACCGCGCGCCACCGGTTGCCGGGCGGAGAACCTTTTGGTCCGGCCGCGGCCCAGCCACGACGGGACACCAGCGGGACACCAGTGGGACACCAGCGGGACACCGGCGGGACACCGCGCGCCACCAGTTGCCGGGCGGAGAACCTTTTGGTCCAGCCGCGGCCCAGCCACAGGAGATTTTCCTCTCCCCCGCCCACGCAGCTTCGCCTCGCCCGCACGCACGGCACGAACAGGAAACCGAAATCGATTTCCCGGTAGGGGGGCTCTCCGTTCCACTTCGATCTCACCCCCCAACCTCCGAGATATACATATGTATGTGTGTATATATATATATACACATGCCCAAATTACGTCAGAGCCCATGTCCACATCCCCACCCGACCCGTGCCCCAAAAACACGTGCAACATCCCGACCAAACGCGCGTCCAAATCCAACTCCGAATCCGCGCCCAAACTCGCGCCCCAGCCCACGGCCGAACCGAGCGCCCCGGGTCCCCCGCTCGGACCCGCGCCCGCGCCTGGCGACTGAGAGCCGACGGCCGCCGTGCGCGGCACCCCGCGGGGTGACCACGGCCCGCGCCCCACCGGCCAGGGCCAGCCCGTCATAGTGCCAGGCACTTGTTTTGAGAGGATAGCAGAAACAACAAGGAAACACAACAGCAAATAGAAAACATTATGGGAAGGCGTGTATGGGGTTCATCGCAGGCGGTTCCCCCCCACACTCCCCAGCGCCCGACGTTTCCACTGTAAACGAAGCCGTTCAGAAAAGGAGGGAAACCCTGGGGTACATCCCAAGGGGAGCTATTCGGACGCACCGCTATCGAGGATGGACGCCCCCCCCATCGTATATCCTAGGGTCGGGCCCAAAATTTCTGGTCCGTTCGAAGGCCCCACGAAGCTTGGGATGGGGGTCGACCTATTCCCCGCTCGGCTACGCGCATAGAGTAGGGCTCCCCTTCGAGGGTGGCCTCTCGCCTGGGACTGGGGCGCACGATCCACGACTGCGAGCCATGTGCGCGACAGCCAGCCAGCTGGCCTGAGGCTCGCTTGCAGATTGTGGGGCTCTCGACGGACGCACTCCTCCATACCCTCCATACCCTCCTCCCCCTCCCCCTCCTCCTCCTCCTCCTCCTCCTCCTTCTCCTCCTCCTCCTCCTCCTCCTCCTCCTCCTCCTCCTCCTCCTCCTCCTCCTCCTCCTCCTCCTCCTCCCCGTCGGGACGGGAGGCTGCGCCGCAGCATCGTCAGCATCGCTGGTGCATCCTAGGTCCTCCTCCGAAGGTCTCCCGATGTCCCTGGAGGCCTCTTGAGGCCAGATACGGGTCAAGATCGACAAAGAATCTTGATGCTCGATCCTCCTCCTGCTCCTCCTCCTCCTCTTCCGTCTCCCCTCCTCCCCTTCCCTCTCCCCCATCCTTCCTCCCCTCCTTTCTTATCCTGTCTCGCGGTCCTCCTCATCCTCCTCCTCCCTCCTCCCCCCCTCGTCGCTCATCCCTCCCTGCCTCCCTACCTCCCCCTCTATTTTGGAGGACTCCCGGCACGCTCCAAAACAGGGAGCGGGGGATTCGGCGCAAAGACGTTGCCCCTTTACATGAGTTCCTCCCCCCCCTCCCTCAGGCTTTCGGGTGCTGTCGGCACGTCCTCTCGCTCTCGAGTCTCCGGTCTCCCAGTCGTTCCCCGCTCTCTCGTCTTTCTCCCCTCCGTTCCCTGTGCCCAGTCCCGGGCATTGGCTGGTTTTCCCTCCCATCCTCGTCGTCGTTATCGATCCTCGTCGTTATCTATCACCTTCAGCTCGGCGCCGGCGTTCGGCCGTGCTCCCTCGCCTGTCGCCGCCGCTCGGCACAGCGTTTGGCTGTTCGCCTGCGTTGCCTGCGCGTCCACTCGGGTGCAAGGCTGCTGTACTTGTACGAGTCACGGGCAGTTGCCCTCCCCCTTGGTCGCAGAGTTCTGACTGGGGGGGCGCGCCCTGGCTGGGCGATGCTTGTCAAGGGCAGGTCCCGCCTGAGAGCCAGAGGCAGAAGCACGAATCTAGTTTTTTCCTGTACTTCGCCCACGCGCGTGGCCAACCTGCCGAGCTTACACATTGTTCATGTTTAATTCTTGGACAATTCTTTGATTTTTTTGGGGCCTAGATCCTTCTACTTCTAATTGTTCTGTCCTGGGCCTCCTCCTGGCCACTAGGGGGCCGGGATCAATTAGGATCGAGCACAATTAGAAATGAGCACGATTAGAAATTAACGACGTGTAGCCATAGCCTGGCGAAGGATCCAGCCATATGTGGATGTGGGTAACGCAGTTGTGACTGTTGCTCTCGGTGGAGATCCCGATAAAGGGGCCACGAAGCGTGTGAGGGGTGTGCCGACGTGGGTGCGGCGGGCGCATACGAACGCAGCCACTGGGGCCTTGAGTGGAGCTCCCTATGGGGCCACGGGTCGTGTGAGAGGTGTGCCGAATTGGGTGCGGCGGGCGCATGCGAACGCAGCCACTGGGGCCTTCCTTTGGTGGAGCCCCCCCATGGGGCCACGAGACGTGTGAGGGATTTACCGAAATGGGTGCGGCGGGCGCATGCGAACAAAGCTACTGGTGCCTTCTGTGGAGCTCCCGATGGGGCCACGAAACGTGTGAGGGGTGTGCCGACGTGGGTGCGGCGGGCGCATGCGAGCGCAGACATTGGGGCTTCTGGTGGAGCTCCCTATGGGGCCACGAAGCGTGCGAGGGGTTTGCCGAAATGGGTGCGGCGGGCGCATGCGAACGCAGCCGCTGGGGCCTTCCTTTGAAGGTGCTCCCTATGGGACCACGAGTTGTGCGAGGGGTGTGCCGAAGTGGTTGGCTGGTGCGCAGGGCAGAGACACGCAGGGGAGGACGGAGCAGGGGGAGGAGGAGGAGGAGGAGAAGGAGGAGGAGGAGGAGGCGGAGGAGGAGGAGGAGGAGGAGGAGGAGGAGGAGGAAGGAACGCGGGGCGCTGTCTTTTCAAAACGAGGACCCAACACCACAGGACGGTTGGAACATCTTCATGTTCAACGTCTCCTCCTCCTCATCCTCCTTCTCCTTCTCCTCCTCCTCCTCCTCCTCCTCCTCCTGCAAGAACTCCAACCGCAGCGATCAGCAGCCACACTTGATCTGCCAACTGTTTGCCCCATCTGAGTGGGGCCTCGGGCCGCGCAGGTCAAGCAAACTCCCTTTCTACCTCCTCTATCGTCCTCCTCGCTCCCCTCTCGCCCTCCTCTCTCCCTCCCTTCCTGCCTCCAAAGATCCGCCGTT